ATAATCAATGTTTACTAAAAGTGTGTCATTGTGGCTGAGTATGGTGCTGCAGACTTGTCCCAGCGACTAGGGAAGCTGAAGCAACTTTTTTTTTTTTTTTTGTCTTTTTAGACAGGGTCTTGATATGCAGTTCAGACTGGCCTTGAACTCACTTTGTAGCCCAGGCTGGTCTCGAACTCACAATGATCCTCCTGCCTCAGCCTCCCGAGTGCTGGGATTACAGGTGTGTGCCACCACGCCCGGCTCGAAGCAACTTTTTAATTGAAGTAATTTATTTTGTGTTACTGATTTTTGTAAGACACTCACTTACACAGAAAGCACAATTTAACCAGATATGGTAGCACACTTCTCTAATCCCAGAACTCTGGAGGCTGAGGCCGGAGGATTCCAAGTTTGAACCTGGCCTAAGCAATTTACCAACTTAATGAGATGTTGTCTTAAAACATTTTTGCAAAGGGCTGGGAATGTAGTTCAATTTCAAGGCCCTGGGTTTGATCCTCAGTATTGCAATTAGCAATAAAGAAATAAAATTAATAGAAATTTTCCTTGGTTGTTTGCTTTATCTTAGAGGGGGGGCTGTCAGGATTTCATTATGTAGTTAAGGCTGGACTTGAACTCACTTTGTAGCTCAGGCGAGCCTCAAATTTGGATCCTTCTGCCTCAACTCGTTGAGTGCTAGGATTATAGGTTTGTACCATCATGCCAGTTCTTTCTCTCTCTCTCTCTTTTTTTTTTTTTTTTTTTTTTGAGAAAAGGTCTCCCTGTATAGTGCAGGTTGGTCTTGAACTTACTATGTAGTCCAAGCTGCCTTGAACTTGTGGTGATCCTCCTGCCTCAGTCTCCCAAGTTCTGGGATTACAAGCTACACGCCTAGTTCTTTTTTTTTTTTTAAATAGGGGCTCAGTATGTCACTCAGGCTATATTCAACTCCTGGACTTACATAATCCTCCCAAGTACCTGGGACTACAGCACATGCCACAGTGCTCAGTTTATTTTATTTATTTTATTTTTTCAGTCCTGGGGATTGAACCCAGGGCCTTCTCATTGACCTACAGTCCTAGCCCTTTTTATATTTTGAGACAGGGCCTCACTAAATTGTATGGGCCGGCCTTGAATTTACCATCCTGCTGCCTCAGGCTCTCAAATACCTGTGACTACAGGCGCATGCCAAGAACCCTCGGTTTAGAATTGTGCTTTAATTTAGACTCAGTGTGCCTCTGCCCTGAACAGGGGCCCTAAAGCCCTAGCCTGGCTTCCGTGCCATGCCTGGCGGGTACGTGGGCCAGGCAGGGTCACCGGTGGTCAGGGTTAGGGTTCAGTTTGGGGCTCAGAGCAGTTACGGAGGCTCAGTGGTACTGATGTGGGCACAGGGCGGGGAAGGGGAAGGGTCCCAGATTGTGCCTGGGCCTGAATGACCTGGGCCCGGCGAGGGTCTGGCCCCGGTGGCCGGTTTAGAAAGTAACCAGTGTCTGATGTCGCAGGCACTAAATGAATGTGAGAATCACCTCTTCGCCTCTGCAGGTGGGGAAGGCTCCTGCGTGAGCACTGTGAGAGCCAGTGAAGGAGGCTGATGGACCACCTTGTTTTCAGATATGGTTTCACCTAGGAAGGGACAGACTTGTGGCAATTTCTCCTTCCCTCAGGGGCCCCCAGACTCCAGAGCTTCCCTTCCCCGCAGGCCTCCCCAATAACCACCCCTCCCTTCCCCCACCCAGCTGAAGCACCACCTGCTTCCCCGTTCCGCCTCCTCCCCCCGCGGGAAGAACAGATCCCTAGCAGGGAGGGCTTACGTTTCTCCCTCTCAGAGTGACGTCACAGAGGCTCTAGACAGCCAGAATGCTGCCTTGATTTTTAAAACAATAACTTACACCTCTAGGCAAGGCTTTTGTTTCCTGAATCGAAGACCTAAAGGCGTGAAATTGTAACAATAAAGTGTCAACTGCAATTCCCGAGACCCAGATGAGGCCCTCATGTTTGGAAGGCACAGGCTGACCCTCCATCCGCCTGGCCGTTGGCCTAACCTGTGCCTTCTCTTTCGGAGGCTGGTGCCAGCTTCCTGTTCCTGGGGCCATGAGGCTGTGCAGCAGACAGACAGCCAGGCCTGCTCTCCGGACCCCCTTCTGCTTCCCACCCCAACCACCATCCATCCTGTCCGGGACTGTATTGAGGGGTTGTTTTGGTTTCTGGTTTTTTTTTCTGGTACCGGGAATCAAACTTATGACCTCGCGCTTGCCAGGCAGGCGCTGTGCTGCTGAGCTAAATCCCCAGCCCCCTTGGTTTCTGTTTTTGAGACGGGGTTTCACGATGTAGCCCAGGCTGGCCTCGAACTCCCAGTGATCCTTCTGCCTCAGCCTCCTGAGTGCTGGGATTACAGGCCGTGCCACCACGCCTGGCTTCTGGGATTGTATAATAGGACATTCTCAATTGGATTCCTTTGGGAGGGGAAAGTGCCCTGGGAAGGAAAAACAGTACAAGGATACAGTACACAGAAGCACAACCTCTTACTGTTTTTTAGACGGGCGTGCTGGGGCTTCCTTCTCTGTCTTTTCCCAAATCTCCCCACCCCTAAGACTACCCAGAGCCGAACGCAGTGGTTGCCACCTAAGACCAAGTAGGAACCAGCTTGTCATGAAATAACAAGCTTTAAGATGAGGAGCAGGCTGCTCCTTGGGAGCGGGGTGTGTCCTGGACAGGGTGGGTGTCAGCAGAAGCCCCGCCGAGTCAAACAATGGCAGGAAAGGAAACCTCATTTTGCCACAAGATTTTCTTCAGGGGTAGGCCTGAGCAGCCTTTTCTGGCAGGAGTGTTTGCATAGCTGTTCCCAGAACAGAAGGTAATATTTTCTCAAATGCTTTTCAAAATATGCTTGTGTGTATGTGTGTGAGTGAAACAGGGACAGAGGTGTGAGAAGGAGCCAGATCTTAGAAGCCAGGAACACCAGAGTTTAGATTTTTTTTCCCCCTAACAAACATGATTGAATTTCAGAAAGATTTCTTTGGCTGTTGTGAAGACTGGATTCAACAGTCCAAGAGTGCAAAGAGTTGAGAAGCTACTGTATTCCAGGTCTGATAAGGCCTGATGTGGGACAGTGGCTGGAGGTCGGGGAGGAGAGAAGGACCTAGAATGTTTGGTAAGGAGAATCAGCAGGTCTTACCCTGGTGCTAGGACAGAGACAGAGCTAGGGTCAGACACACCTTACTCAAACTAGGGGAATAAAGGCAAAAAGTCTTCTAGAAAACTCACATCTCACAGCTTGGCTAGAACTAAGCACATTCGTATGGAGTTGGAAAGGAAACTGAGGCAGACTCCCTGTAAGATGGTCAGAGAATTGGAGTCTGGGCCTCAGGCTCAGGTTTCCTGCAGCGGCTCTTCATTGCCTCCCTGTTACCTTGGAGTTTGGCAGTGCTGCATTATTTCCCCAAACACACACACACACACACACACACACACACACACACACACCAGGCCCAGGAGGAATTCTGACCACGACATGCCTGCTATAAGCTCCTTGGAGAAGAATCAGGCTCCCTAGATCCAGACGTGCGGGGAGAGAGATAAACTCAGACGATACAAGAGTACTGGCAGGGATGGGGGACAGCACAAACCTGGAAGGGACTGGGAGCTGGGCACTTGCGTTTAAGCAAAAGCACAAGAAATAGTATTAATACCCCTTTTTATTGAGCACCTACTTTGTGCCAGGCACTTTATATACATCCGTGCTTGTAATTCTCACAATGACTTTGGAGGTAGGCATTACACATACAAGGAGACTGAGGCTCTGCTAGGTTGTGCAGCTTGTTCAAGGTCACGCAGCTGAGCTGGCGCTGGAGATGGGCGCCTGTAAGGGGCCCGAGGCTTTCATCAGGCATTTTTCACACTGAGAGAGGAGGGCAAAGGGAAGCATTCTCTGGGGAGCACAGCACTGGTCAGAGCTGGTGAGCGAAGCTGAGCTCTATCCCGTTTTCCACTTCCTCCTTTCCCCAGACAGCAGCAAGGGCAGGAAAAGCTCCCTCTGCCGAGGCCGAGGGAAGGAAAATGGCTGCGGTGAAAGCCCCTACCCTGCGAACGTGCTGGCAGGTGTTAGTGTGCGTGTGAGGCCACAGCACACCACGGCCGGAATAAGGACACTGCTCACCTTCGGGCCACACCCCCGCCACGTGTGCAGAGTGAGCCGGCCAAGGAATCTGGAAAGAGCTGTTTATTTCCTATCAGTGTCCCAGGGAAACCGCCTGGGCAAGGGCCAGCTCAACCACCAAAGCCTGGAACTTGTCCCCTCCCCCTCCTTCCAGGCTCAGCCGGCCTCGGGGAGGTTGTGCTCATCCTAGGGACTCGGACCCATGGGGTGCGCCACTCCCAACCCCTGCGCGCAAACGCGCGTGCGCACACCCGTTCTGGAGCTCAGGCAGCGAGTCTGGCCTGCCTACTGCTACAGGTCTGCGGCCACAGGCACGCCAGGCCCATGGCTGAGCCCTCGGGTGCACGCAGAGGGGTCAGTGCGGCGCGAGGAGTCTCTTGCCTGCCTCCCTGTCAGCTGGCCATTCCCCCAGACGGAGCGGGACCGGGTCAGCCACAGGGCAGGCGTCTGCTGGAACGCAGGGCCTGGCCTCTAACACCAAGAGCGCGAGCTTTCTAAGTGTGGCAGGGATTATCTGGGGACTTAAAGAGGCCCGCGGCCCCACCTTCGCAGGACAAAGCTGACCATGAAGGCGATGACAGCGGAAGGCGCTTCTTTGTGCTTTTGTTCGTTCTGGGAACCAGGACTCGAACGCAGGACCGCGTGCTTGCCAGGCAAGCGCCCTGCCGCTGAGCTGTACCCCGGCCTGCTCTTTGTGCTTCTAAAGCCGGACCCCGCGGAGCAGACGGAGAACCGACCTTCGCCTCTCCTGAGCTCCCCGCCTCCACCATGGACAAGAGGTTTCTGCGGGCCGCAGCGGGAGGGGGACGAAAAGGGACCGTCGGGACCGCGCTGGAGCCAGAGATGGCTTCAGGCCCGTCCCGGCTCCAGCGCCCGCGTCGGCACCCGAGCTCGGAGGTGCGGAGAGGAGCTCAGGTCCGGGGCTCGGGCTGCGGGCCGGCCGGCCGCCGCGGGGTCAGGACACCCAGGTGAAGTAGGCCACCTCGTCCAGGTCGACCGGGTAGTCCGTGAGCAGCACGGGCGTCTTGTCGAAGAGCTCGCCCTTGTAGCTGCGCCACTTGCCGGCGGGCAGGTAGACGTCGCGCTCCTGCTTGCCCGGCTCCAGCACGGGCGCCACGAGCAGCGTGTCGCCGATGAGGAACTGCGAGTCCACGCGGTGCGCCGTCTCGTCGCCGGGCGCGATCCACCACAGCGGGCGCACGATGGGGTCGCCGGTGTCCGTGATCTCGCCCGCGAGCTCCAGCAGCAGCGGCGCCACCAGCGAGGCGCGCAGCGCGGCGAACTTGTGCGCGATGGCCACCACCTCGGCGCCGTACTGCCAGGGCGGGATGGAGAACTGCATGGCCGGCATGAAGGCCGCCACCTCCAGCCAGCGCACGTACAGCTCGCGCTCCGGGCCGTCGGGGCCGCCGGCCGTGCGCTCGGGCACCGCGTTGCCGCCCACCATGTCGGGCAGGATGAAGGCGTAGCCCAGCATGCTGACGGTGAGCACGGCGGGGATGAGCGAGCGCAGCCCCAGGTCGTAGCCCCACACCGAGTCGCGGTCCACCAGGCGGAAGAAGCAGGAGATGTTCTGCGACTGGTAGCCCACGCGCACCTCGGCGCGCGCGAAGAAGGGCAGCGCCATCTCGGTGTAGCGCCGGCTCCAGACGCTGGGGTCGGGCAGCGGCCGGAAGGTGCTGAAGTCGCGCGGCAGGTAGCTGACCTCGCCCGCGTCGAACTTGAAGGAGGCCACGCCGTAGCGCGCGCGCAGCCGCTGCAGCTGGCTGAGGAACCAGTCGCGCGCGGCCGGCCGCGTGAAGTCCAGCACGGCGCCGATGCCGTTCCACCAGCGCACGAGCGCGGGCAGCCGGCCGGTGGGCTCGCGCACGAACAGCTCGCGCTCCACGCCCTCGCCGAAGCGCGAGGAGTTGTAGTTGACGAACGGGTGCACCCACAGCGTGACGGCGAAGCCCGCCTCGCGCAGGCGCTCGAACATGTGGCTGGCGTTCGGGAACTTGGCCGGGTCGAAGTCGAAGTCGCCGTAGGCGGGCGTGTACATGTCGTCGATCTCCAGGTGGCTGCTGTTGAAGCCGTGCTGGCGGATCTGCTGGGCGAAGCGCAGCACCTTGGCCTGGTCCACCGCGCGCCCGTACAGCGCCCACGTGGACCAGATGGGGTGCCGGAAGGCCTCGGGCGCGGGCACCCTGGACGGCTTGTTGAAGTAGCGCCGCACCATGTACTTGTGGATGGAGGTGACGTCCGAGCCCACGCACACGCGGTAGCTGAGCTCGGGCGCCGCGGCGCGGCCGGCGGGCGGCTTGTAGGGCGTGGCGTGGTAGCGCGCCTGCAGCCGCAGGGAGCGCTCCGTGCCGTTCCAGCCCAGGTGGAAGGGCACGGAGTCGTTGACCTTGATGGCGGCCGCGCGCGACGACAGCCAGTAGCGCTCCAGGATGCCCCCGAAGGCGGCGTCGGAGGAGTACACGTCGCTGGTGACGAACGGCTGCGGCTCCTGCTGGCCGTCCAGGCGGATGGGCCAGTGCTGCGTGCGCATCTCGGCGCCGCCGTACCAGTGCGCCGCGGCGTCGCCCAGGAACATGGCGTGCTCCACGGCGCGGCCGGCCGCCGTCTCCTCCCAGCGCACGCGGTAGCACATCACCGTGTCCTTGGGCCGCACCGTCTGGATGAAGAAGTGCAGCGGGCGCCCGTCGGCCGCGCGCGAGCAGCCCAGCATGGCGCCGTCGCGGCTGCAGGAGTCCAGGTCCAGCGCGCCCGAGCGGAAGGCCAGGCGGAAGACCTGCTCGCCCTGCTGGTTGCGGATGGAGAAGCCGCCGCGGTTGAGGTCCAGCAGCTCGGCGCGCAGGCGCTCGGCTTTGCGAAGGGAGGCGCTGTAGTAGCACCAGGCCACGACGGCGGCCAGCACCAGCAGCAGCCCCAGCGCCGCGGAGCCCAGCAGCGGCCTCAGCTCTTTGGCCGGCTTGGGCTTGGCGGGCGAGAAGTTGTCGGGCAGGAAGGTGTACATGGCTGCGGCTGCCGCGGCCTCGGGGCTCTTGTGGCCTGCGCGGCGGCGGCGGGGGCGGCGGCGGGGCTGGGCCGGGTTCGTGTCGTCAGGGTTCTGGGGCATCGATCTCTCCCCAGCTAAGGAAGGAGCGGGCGCTGGGGCCACCCGACCAAGTCCATCTGAACCTGGCTGGAGTCTGAAAGGGAGAGAGGGGAACTGAGCCTTCTTGTTCCCTAGCACTGTGTCTCCCCCAGGCTGTCGGCCACGAAGTCTGTTTCCCTGCGCCCTGCTTTCTCTGCTTACCAGGACAGCCTCTGTGGTGCGGGTCGCCTCCCTCCTCCTGCCACCTAATACTGTCCCGCTGCCCCTTCCCGTTTGGGCACTGTGCCTTCTCCCCCGGGTTATCGCAGCACTTTGCCGGTGGCCTCCCTGTCCCCAGCTTTACTCCCTTCGGTGCTGTTCATTCACAGCAACCACAGGGCGCTGGCCGCAACTACGCTGTCCCCAGCCTGGAGGACTGCGCAGCGAGCCCCAGGACGAAATTCAGAAAGGTACACTTTTTTTAGCGTGTAAACTTTGCAATCAAAGCCTAAGACATGATGTGGTCTCAGCCACCTCTCTGATTCTCTTCCAGCTAGGCCTCGCCTGTCCCTACCCAGCAGAACCCTTCAGGCCACCTGCTCAGGGAGAGCGCGTCCACCCAGCCCAGGAGCCTGTCCTCCACCTACCGTCGCCGTAGGGATCAGATGCCCACATTTCACACATAGCTTCTCACAAACTGTGTGCTAAACACCCAGATGTGGCTGCAGGGAAACACAGGCTTGGGGGAAGGTATGTGTCTTAACCTGCTCTCCAAGGCTGTCGCCACCGTCAGGGCAGAGTCCAGCAAAGAAACAGCCCCAGTCAGGTGCACACACAGGCAGACACCTCATTGGCTGACCGGCTACCTAACTGTTCCAGCTGGCGGTGGGAAGAGGGGCAGAGGGGCAGACAGTAATTAGGCTGCTCCCAGATGCCAGTGTGTGTCTCCCTCTCCAGTGACTTCAGGGAGGTTCTGGAACCTTTCAGGTTTCTAACCCCTGCAGCTACCCAGCGCAGACATATCAAACTATGCAGATCAGAATTTTAACCTACAGGACAGATGCACGGAGTCTCTCACACCTCCTTCCCCAGGTTGCTCGCTCCCCCTAACTACCTAAGCTTTCAGTCCCTCCTGGTCTGGAGCAGCCTCTCCACCCCTTCTCAGCCCACACAACAGCCCTCCTCCCTTTCTTGCAGGTACAGGTTGTGAGAACCCTCCTGGAGATGCAGGTTCTGTAGTGCCTTTTAGCTGACGCCCCCAAAGCTAAGCAGAGCCCAAAGAAGGCCTTAGGAGCCCAGACCAGATTTGCTGAATACTCCTATTCATTCATTCAAGACAGCCTCGGTTCCATTCGGGGCGGCACCCAGGTAATAAGGGAAGGAGGCTCCTGTCTAAACAGGACAGACACACCCGTCCTCACATCAAGTCAGACCCTTCTTGACCCCGGAGTGTGAAGAGGCTGCCTTGGTGACCTTAAGCCTTTCCTACCCTTTGAGTTCTGAGAATCTTAAGTTGTAGGATTCTAAGTTTTTTTCTTCTTCTTGGTACTGGGTATTGAAGCCAGGGACACTCTTAACTCTAAACCTCATTCCTAGTCCTTTTTATTTTTTGAATTTTAGGGAGACAGTATCTCCCTAAGTTGCCCAGGTGGGACTCAAATTTGCACCCTCCTGCCTCAGCCTCCCTCAGTGCTAGGGTTACAGACATGCACTATCATGCCCGACTTGCTTGCATTCTTTACATTTTATTTCCAGCCTCTCCAGCATGTTTTGGGAGAGACACTCGCCTGACCAGGGTGCCTGAGAACCATGGCAGAAATAAGCTGTGTGGCTGATATGAAGAGACAAGCTTCCATCGGGTGGGCCAGAGAGTGGTGAGGCCTGTCTTTTCAAGAGACCGACCAAGGACCTCTCAGGAGCTTGAAAAGAGCTTTTTTGTTTTGTTTTGTTTTGTTTTTTGAGACGGAGTCTGGCCTGAAACTCATGGTGATCCTCCTGCCTCAGCCTCCTGAGTGCTGGGACTACAGGTGTGTGCCACCATGCCCGGCTGCAAGGAGCAATTTTAATGGCATCTGGCACCAGGACTGTGGAGGAGAACTCTGTAGTTAAAGTGTTAGCAGTGGTTAGAGACCTCTGTAATCTGCCGCCTCCGCCATGTGGCCAGCCACAGGCTAATGCTAGCAGGTAGGGCCGTGCAGGCGGGCTTCCTTGAGCTCTGCTCCCGCGAGCCTCTCCCACTTGATATCAACCTGTCTCGTTTGCCAACCCCTAGTTTGGTCTGAGGGAGAGGGCCTCGCTCGGCTCCACTAAGGGAGGTAATTCCAAGCAGAGCCATTTGCTGGATACGCTTCCTGGGCGGCAGGGAAGGGTGGTGGAAATGTCAAAGGTAACTCGATCTGGCCATCTCCCTCCCCTGTCCAGAGACTGGATCCTCGAGGATCGAGTGACTGCGCCTACACAGTCCGGAATACTTCCACACCCACCCTCGGCGCCCCACTCGACGGCTACACTGTCCAAAGGGGCAGGTGAAGGTCAAGGGACCTGTGGCCCGCTCGGAACCGGCCTGTGCAGGGGCCCAGGTATCCAGGGTCGCTCCACCTACCGGACTGTAGGAGCCAAAGTTCAGGAATCAGGCACCTTCAGCAGCACACCCCCACCCGCCCCAAGGTCCTCCCGCGGGGCTCACTCACGCAGTGACAGCTGGGCAGAAGTGGGGATGCAGGGATCCTGCCGCGGACCCCGTCCACGCAGCCTGCTGCGACCTGCCACCGCGCTGCACCGGGCGCTGCCCGGCCGGCCCCGGCTGAGCCCTCCCCGACCCCG